CTGCCTCTTGAGTTCTGTCTGATTTTACTCCCAGTCTTCCTTCTCCTTCATTCGGTATCTATTTTTGTCTGTTTGTTGTTGCTAGTTGCCATGGAATCAACTCTGACTCATGGCAACCCTATGTGTAAGAGCAGAACTGTGTTCTGTAGGCTTTTCTCTTTATTCATGGTGTTTTCAGTGGCTGGGTTTTTGTAATCAGATCTCCAGGTGTAAAAAGGGCTTGTGGGCAGCGTCTGACTCCTGTAACTTCATGAGGGAAAAGGAGGATCTGGAACAATGGCAACAGCCCAAGGCTGATTCCTATGAGGTGGAGGTCAGAGCCACGACCATTCTGATACCATCCGTTCCTCCCACAGCACTCACTGCTTCTCTGCTGGGTTTGATAATTCATTTCAGTGACCATACAGAACTCACAGACAGTACTCACGATTATGGGGTTTGTTCAGGAAGTAACTGGTTACAATTCAGGGTCAGAAACCACTCAGGATACAGTTCTTCAGTCAGGACAGCTGCTGCCTAGTCATGTCACAGGCATGTGTCTCTCTGGCCTAAGCCTCTTGGCCCTGCGGCCCCTTGGCCTTTGCCCTGCTTGGGCAAGTGTCACAAAGCTCTTTAGCTCTGCAGATAGGTGCTCAGAGAGGCACCCCAGTCTGCCAGCCAGCCTCCTGCCTGAAGACACTCAGGTTCCTGGCTCTGCACCAGGAAGCCTACTGCTCTGTCTCATGCTGGTCTGTTGGTTCTGATGCCTCTCTGCCACCGTCTCTCTGCTGTCTCTCTCTGACATCTTGGCACAGGGATCTTGGGTTCAAGGATGTGTGCCACTTCTGGTTCTTTTTTCTTGATGGTAGTGAGATCCCCCCCTTTCTACCTCTGGGAGGGCTCATTTAAGCCTAGCGAGATAGCAAACTGACCAGTCCCCATGTTAGGGTTCCACACACTTTATTTGCATGGCTCACCCCCAAGGTGCCGTGCACCTTATTTGCATCATTAGCAAGCTGTCCAGTTCCCTCGGTGGGCCATAAGCACCTCATGTTTGCATGGTCCCGCCCAGTCATCTGATG